TTGGGGGAGGGCATGAGGGGGTCAGTAGGGAGCTAGAGTGGGGAGATGAGCCTGTAGAGGACTGGCTGGGGGTGAGCCCCCAGTGGAAGGCCATGGCCTTATTGTGCCTGTGGCTGGGGTGGGGGGAGTTGGCTTACGAGTCGGAGCGGGGGTCTCTGTGCAGCTCAGGGGATGGCTCTGGCCTCTGAATGCCCCCCCTCCAGGCTCGGAGCAGAGACTCTCTGCTGGGTTCTGGATCTGGGTTTGAGCCCTGCAAGATGCCATCCTTGTGCGGTCCCTGCTACAGCAGCTGCCCGCTCCATCTGTTCATCAGGGCGGGGGGTGACCCAAAGCAGTCCCCAAAGGGACTGCGTCCCTTGTGTTCCCTTCTGACGTGTCTCCATCAATACATGCAACCCTGTCCTCTATGCCACAGGCGCTTGCCCTGTGCCAGTACTTTGAGGACCAGCAGCTGGATTTCCGGGGCAAGCAGGTGATCGAGCTGGGTGCCGGGACGGGCATCGTGGGCATCCTGGCCACCCTGCTTGGTACGTATGGTAGCTCACCTGTGACTCTGGGGTGGGTGAGCTACCAGGGGTGTGTTGCACACTGGTTTGGGGGGTGTGAGTCCCTCAGCATTGGATCTCTGGGCCCCTGCCTTGTGGAGGTGCTCTGTACAAGGAGAGCTAATGAGATTTAGCAATGGGGCAGCTACCAATTGCCTTGGGCATTGGTCAACCCCCGGGGCTATTTCACCTCTTCCAGGGGGAGATGTGACCCTCACGGACCTTCCGCTGGCTTTGGAGCAGCTCCAGGAGAACGTGGCCCGTAACGTGCCAGCGGAGCACATGGCTCGGGTCTGTATCCGTGCCCTGTCCTGGGGCCTGGATCATGAGCGGTTCCCGAGCGGCTATGATGTCATTCTGGGGGCTGACATCATCTACTTGCAGGACACATACCCGCTGCTGCTGCGCACCCTACAGCACTTGAGCGGCCCTGGCTCCACCATCTACTTGGCGTCCAAGATGCGGCAGGAGCATGGCACTGCTGAGTTCTTTGAGATGCTGCTTCCCCGGCACTTTGCCTGCGAGCTGGTCCAGCGGGACGAGCAGGAGAACATCAGCATTTACCGAGTCATGCGGCAGTGAGGCAGGGGCCGCGCTTTGCCCCCAGATTTAGGGGGACGGGTGCGGGCTTTTCCAACCGAGCCACATCCGTAGTATGTGCATCAGCGTCCCCATTGATCAAGCCACCAGCATCCAGCATCCAGCCATACCCGTGCTAGGGGGGAGTGTGATGCTGCTCTCTGGGAAAACAGAGAACCGGACCATGTTTCCGTGCCAGCAACAGGGAGGCAGGACATTACCAGCCCTCCCCTCCTGCACTGGGAGTGGGTGGATGTGGCAGCCCCTGGAACCAGATGCCAGCTTTGGGGAGATCTTTTTGGAGGACGATTCTGGGCCACCAGCAAAAGAGCCTCACACCAGGGAAGCCAGATGGGAATAACCAGCATTGAACGTCCCTTCGGAGACACCATGGTGCCTTGCACGTATCTCTTTTTTTGTTTTTATTTTTTTTTTTGTAATGCTGTATGAGAAGTAAAAGTGGGTTTCATGCTGGGCTTGGTTGGAAAGACTCTTGCTTGCAAAGGACGGGAGGGGATAAAAGTTAAAAGCCAAGGGCAAAATGACTAAAAGCGCCTCTTGCATTCCCACCCAATGGTGTCACGAGCTCATGACCTCCTTATTGCTCTGATTGGCGATGGGGCACTTGTGTTACCTCGTAAGAGGAGAAGAATGTGCAGCATTATGCTTTGTTTACTGAGAAGTGACTAAGGGAGGGCGCTGGGGGGAGATGTTGCGGGAACTAGGCTGGGAAGAGCCGTTGGGCAGCTGCCGGAGATGCTCTAGGCGGGGGGTGCGGAGGTGACACTTCCTCATGGGTCTCGATTGCTGCGTGAGCTTCCCAGGGCTCTGGCCTGCGTTCCGAGCACTGGGCCCCCGTACGAGGAATTGCTTCCTCCTTCTAGGAAGCCGGGTGGTTTGGCGAAGGACTATTGCATTTTGGGGGTTTGTGGTCAGATAGCAAGATTGCAGGGACTTTCTCTGATGAGGAAAGCGCCCTGTCTTCCAGGCACTAACAGCCTGGCTGGAGGGGAATACTGGGGGGGTAGTGGAGGGGGGCTGTACATGTGCATTCAGCTCCTGCAGGAGTGAGGGGCTCGGAGCATGGGGCCAGCTCCGCTTTGCTGCATCTGCACCGGCTGCTCTTGCCCTGCAAGGCCCTTGCTCTGCAAGCTGTGGGCAGGGGCGTTGTTTGCAGCACTGGACTTGGGGCTCCCCAGGGATGGGGCATGGGAGCAGGACGCCCGGGTTCTTTGCCAGGGGGATGCCTGGTTTCTGCACTGGCCTGGGGGGAGGGGGCAGGATCAGGATGCCTGGGCTCTATATGGGGCCGGGGGCGGTCAGGCCCACCTAGGTTTTATATGGGGATCAGGATGCCTGGATTTTTTGTGGGGGAATCGGGGCACCTGGGTTTTATATGGGGGGGGTGGGGATCAGGATGCCTGGGGCTCGGGATCAGGACGCCTGGGTTCAAAGGGTTAAATCCTGTGCTAGGCCTCCCAGGATTCAAAGGGTTAAATAAATCTATGGGGCAACCAGGCCGGAGAGTTGCGCCCAAAGCACTTCAGCAGCCAATGAGACGGTGCCTCGCCCTCTGGTCCTCTTTTTATTGGCCGCAGGCGTCACCCAGCGCGCCCTCCAATCTGCTCAGCGCAGGGCGGGGCGGGGTCGTGATTAACCGCCCACTAAACCAGCGCCCAGCCCCCTGCGCATGCGCCCCACGCTCGGCTTGTCCCCTGCCGGATCCCGTAGACGGGCGCCGTGACGCAGAACGTGCGCGCCTCGGCGACGCGGCTTCGGGATGCAGCGGGCGGCGCTCGGTGTGTTCGGGGCCCGGCCGGGGCAGGTGAGGGGCAGCGTCCGGCTCCTGCGGGATGAAAGATCCAAGGGCTAGGAAATGGGGCCTCGCGGGGTGAAAGGTCAGGGGCAATGGCCGCTGGCGAGCACGTTAATGCCTTGGGAAGGACTCCTGGGTCCCCTTCCTTGGGAGTTTCTCTTGCTCACCAGCGTGTATGACCCCTGACCTTTGACCCTTCACCCCTGGGAGGCTTCCTGCTGCCTTGCGGGTTCTGCAGCGGGGGGCAGGATCCTGGGAGGTGGTTGCCATGGAGGCAGTTGCCATGGAGCAATGCTGCCCTAGGGATGTGGGGGTGGAGGGTGGGAGTCGCACTGGAGGGCGTCGATCCTTGTGGCGTCCCCTGGGAACTAAGAGGATCCAGCGTGGACCCGGCCACCCGCGACCGGCAGAGCTGGGCTGCAGCAGCCCCCGGAAAGGCCGTTCCGACTGCAGTGTGCCCTGCCAGCCCCAGGTCCCCCAGCCCTGGCTCATCTCCTTCTCCCTGCAGCTGGGCTCCTGGCCCCTGGCCCGGCTGTTCCATGCCGGCCTGCAGCTGTTGGCGACAAATAAGGAGCTCCTGCTGCGACTTCGGAAGAAAACGGGCTACTCCTTCGTGAACTGCAAGAAAGCCTTGGAGACATTTGGCAACGACTTTGAGCAGGTGGGGGCTGCCTTCCTATTGCGCCCAGCCCTTGGGTTGAATTCCAAGGGGTCGTGGGGCTCTGACTCCCTTTGTCTAGACGGGCCTAGAGATTGGATTTTCCTTCCCGGAGGAAGGAGGCGGGTTGGAGGTGAGGGTGGGCTACAATAGATGAAGGAAGAGCCGAGCAAGAACAGGGCAGTCCTTTCTGCTCCTCCAAACCCCAGAATGTAGAAGGAAATGGCTTACAGGTAGCAAAGCTAATGGCACTTCATGAAATAAAGAGAAGTGGTTGTAGAAAATTAATGCTGGAAGGGATCTCGGGAGGTCTAGTTCAGTGGTTCTCAACCTTCTTCGTACCGGGATCCATTTGCGAAGATCCATGGCCAGTCCTGACCCACACTCCTCTAGCCCTGCCAGTGCCCGACCCCTGTCCCCTCCCTGCCGTGGGCTATGCCGGTGTCCCTCACACCTGACCCAGGGTACCCAGCTGCCCCTGTCCCATTTGGGCCGGAGCACGGTGGCTGCAGTGGCTCCAGCTCATGTGGGCGGCAGGAAAGGGAGTCTGGCTCCAGCACTGGTTGGAGGGAGGGGGAGAGGCCTGTGGCACCCCCTGCCCTGGGCTGGGGCTGCCATGACATGCCAGACAACTTGGTCATGGCCCTTCCCACCCTCCTGAGCAGAATCTCCTGGCTGCCCTGCCCCTGGGAGCATAGCACTGACCCCAGCGCCACCAGCCTGGCCACGTAGCTCTCCCCTGCTCCCTTCCCCTGCTGGAAGGTGCAGGCGCCTTCCCACCACCCCTCTGCCCTGCCATAGCTTTTGACCCTTTGAAATATTCTTGTGACCCACAGCTTTAGAAACGGTGTCCAAAGCAGCCAGGGTTAGCAGTGTTAGCCTGAAGTCGAGTGGAAGGCAGGTAGATTTGCACATTACAGACCAGCAGTGTCAAAGATATGGCTTGTGGGAGCCCTATCATTCAGCCCCCAGTGCTGCCATAGGCAGTACGTGGGCTGCCCTGGATGGTCCTGTGCTCTGAAGGGAGATGGAGCAGAGGGCTCTGGGCTGAGCTGACTGCTTGGTTTTTGTCCTCAAAGGCTGAAGTCTGGCTCCACAAGCAAGCTCAGAAGGAAGGATGGAGCAAAGCGTCCAAGCTGCAGGGCAGGAAGGCGAAAGAAGGGCTCATTGGAGTGCTGCAGGAAGGGAATATGGCTGTGATGGTGGAGGTAAGTACCCCTCGCACGTGAACTTGCGAAGTGGATGTACCAGTGCTGGTGTTAGTCCACAGCTTCTTATTTGGCCCCTGTAGCTCCCTGTGACACTCGCACTCAGATCTCACAGCTGGGAGGTTAACTTACCCTATTCTCATCGATACATCTCACGCCCCCCAAATTGGGGTGTGCATATTAAGCAAGGATTTGGTGCTTCTATCTGGTGGGTTTTTTTTCCTTCTTTGCCCTGCTTTGATTCCTGTCATACTGTGCAGCAGCTGTTACACTGTTCCTCAGGCAGCTGAGGGAGTTGGTTAACTTAACGTCTCCTTGCTTTTTCACTTGCAAAGTGTTAACAATCATGTCTCCTTTTTATGTTTTAATGTTCCACTAATTGGGCTAACCTTTCGTAGGGTAACTTTTCTGTCTGCTTTGCTCTCCCTTGTTTTGTTTCCCAGCATTGGAGACTCTTTAGCCCATTTCAAAATCATAGATTTGCCCATGGGTGCCAGTCTTCAGGTGCGGCCAGGGTTTCAGCTTCAGTTAAACAGGAAAGAGAGAGCAGGTCAGCTGAAGATGAGGCTCTGTCCCTGCTCTGTGTAGCCATAAGTCCTGGAAAACCTTCCCCCTTCACTTTGTTCTGCCTTTCAGAAATCAGGTGTGTATTATATTCAGGGGTGTGTTGTATGTGAGAGAACATGGTATTTAATACGTGACACACTTTTGTCATGTAAAGTTCCAGTTAGCAGGAAAATAGCTAGCACTGATGATCCCAAACAGTTCCCCTGAACAGGAGCAAACCTTGGCCTGTTCTCCGTCCCCAAGGTCATGAACATCTCGGGGACATCTGGCCTGTTCTGGTCCCATCATGGCACTAACCCCCGGCCCCAGCAGTTGCACTGCCTGCTGAAATCATCCTTTACATAGCTTTAAAGCATGCAGTCATCTCTTCTCTCTGCCAGGTGAACTGTGAGACAGACTTTGTGGCCAGGAATGCCAGGTTCCACCAGTTGGTTCAGCAAGTGGCAGTTGGGATCATGGTCCACCATCAGGATGCTGGGAAACAGCTCACGACATATGTCAAGGTAAGAGCAGGCTTGCACAGACTGTCTGATCACTGCACCATGTAACTCATTTATCCATGACACTCCCACCAGGTGGGAGGTGATTGGCTAGAGGCATTTGCCTGGGAAGGGCATCATGTGGGTTCCAGCCCCTTTGCTGGAGCAGAAGGTGACGCATCTATGTCCCTTCTCCTGGGAGCTGCCTCCTACCCGTTGCTTTTTGCCTTGCTTGGGCTGCGGAGATGGGAGTCCCTTCAGCTGCTCATTGTTGCTGAGATCTGTGGAGTTCTGGGCATGGCCACAGCAGCTGGGAGCTTTGCTCTTGGAAGTGCAAGCACTGCCAGTGGGGATCTGAGCTGATCCACAGGCTCAGTCCCCTGTGTGGTGGGAGTCTGTTCGGTCATTGGGCTATCTGTCCATCTATCTGTCTTTGTTATAAATTGTTATGTGGAGCAGCCAAGCTGCAGAGTCTCAATGGGAGCCGCCAGCCCCTGTCAGAGAGTTCTGCTCCATTGCACTCTTTGCTGTCTCTGCACAGCGTGGTCTCAAACCACTCCAGTTGCAGCGGTCCCAACAGGCTTCCCAATACCGCCACAATCCTTCAGCTTCTGGGAGCTGTCCCAGCAAAGCGCTTCCTTCCCCATCAGGTGGCCCTGTTGGGGACAGGTTGCGGGCATCACAGAGGGGCATATTCAGGGGCTGGTGTCTGGCCCTGGATATGAGATGGGGCAGGGCCAGAGACATGTGTCCTACTCTGTCTTCGTAACTGGGTGTTTTCTCATCCCTATTTCAGCGCTTTCTGAAGGCGGAGGATCTTTCCCAGCTCAGAACCGTGCCTGAAGGCAGGCTTCTGAGTGACCAGGTGGCCCTGGCTATAGGTGAGTGTCTAGTACCTGTGGCTGGCTAGGGGGTGAAAACGGGGCACTTACAATTAGGACCACCACAGACCAGGTGTTATGTGAGGCACCATAGGCCAGACTATAATACGTACCTTGTTTTTGAAAGGCAGAATGAAAGGGGAAAAGATATTTTGTTGTAGTAACTGGGTAGCAGCCACCAGGGAGCTAAGCCAGCTCCTTGTTCTGCTTCTTGACTGCTGATTTTACTTTCATGTTTGCCCAAAACTGACCAAAACTAGTGCTGTATTTCTCATATATAATGCACACTTTTGTTTACAATTTTTTTGAGAGGAAATGCATGTTATGCAGAAAATATAGTAATTAGCATGCCCTGGTATTCCTTATGAGCTAGTTGGACCCTTTCCCTGGGGATGCTTTTCCATATTTAGATACCCAGGAAAGATTCAGGTGGCAAGCTGAGGAGCCAGCTGGTATCTGGAAACAGTGCAGGCCTTTTTAGCACGTAGCTTTAGGACCAGGGGGAAGGCTGGGCTCTTTCTGGAGCTGGGGGTGCCCAGAGCTCTGGGGCTGGAGGAGTAGCTTGCCGGGAGCTTTGCCTGTCGTGCAGTGCCACCCCTCGTTCTCAGATCTCTTTATGCCTCCAGCAGCAGCCCTAAAATTGAGGTGAGGCTGCTGGAGAACTGCTGCCCCCACCCCCACCCCTGGGTTCCTTTCGGAAGCATGCATTTGGAGAGAGCACAGCTGCCCCCGGCTTGTCCTGATCACAGCCCAGTGAGACCTGCTTTTGCTTTGGCTCCTTGCAGGGAAGCTGGGCGAGAACATGGTGCTAAGGCGAGCTGCCTGGGTGGCCGTGCCCGCTGGTTGCTACATCGGCTCCTATGTCCATGGGAGTCTTCCGACAGGTGCTCCCTCCCTGATCAAGGTGGCCCTGGGCAAATACGGTGCCTTGGTGATCTGTGAGGCTTTGGCCGATAGCCTGGGCACCAGCCTGGTGGATGTGGGCCGGAAGCTGGGGCAGCATGTTGTGGGCATGGCACCTCTGTCCTTGGGGACCCTGGACGACGAGCCTGGAGGTGACACAGAGACGAAGATGCTGGCTCAGTCCTTCCTGCTGGACCCTAACCTCAGCCTGGGCCAGTACGTGCAGCACCATGGCATATCTGTGCTGGACTTTGTGCGTTTCGAATGTGGGGAAGATATTGAGCTGCCGGGAGCCCAGGAGTCTCAGGAAGAGGATGGAATGCCTCTCCTTGCTTCACCCCCGGCCTAGGGGGTTTAAGGCTGGCTCAGGGCCTGCTCCCTCATGGGAGGTCTGGCCAAGGGACATTGCAAGGTCCAAGGGGGGGGGGGGTCTCTGCAGAGCCAGTCTGTGGGATTGTGCAGCTGCTGGCAACAAAGCAAGCACCAGTAAATAGGTGTTTGGTATAATGCAGGTCAACCTGATTCTGATCCATGTCCCTGAGGGGCTGGGGCTTGGGGATAATGATGCTTTGTTCCTGCCTCTGTCACCTTTAGCAGCCCTGATCCTCCCCTGCCATATGCTTTTCTCACAGAGACGAGCCCCTTTGTCAGTCTCTTGACTCCCACCAGAGAGAACCCCGAGCAGAAGGGTGTTGTGTTGTGGATGTACAGGGAGAATGTGCCTTGATACATGCTGCATCCCTTCCTGTGGCACTGATGCCTTGGCAAACGTAAGCTATTTCTCCAGTAGGGGCAGTGGAATAGAGTTGTGCCTAATTGGGACAGAGGCTACAAACACGTGGCATGTGTATCTGGGCTGCCTCCGCCCTCCCCATGTGACCTGCAGCCTCTGCCAAGAAGACCTTAGATTCTGCCCACAAGATGCAGCATGGTACCATCACCTGCAACATCCAGAACCCCTGTTCCCCTCCTGCAAGACATGCTGCTTCTATCAAGAAACAGCTTGTGCATGGGTTTCCAGCCCCAGGAGCCGGAAGCCTAGCGGAGCAGTGGGCACTGGCTCCTGTGAGTGGAAGGGAAGGCAAGGTGCTGCAGTTTGGGGTTCTGTAGCTCCTATCCAGCCGATATGTAGCTTTGTTCTGGGAAGCTGCAGGCAGGTGGGGAAAAGGTCTCCCAGCAAGCTCCCCCGGGCTTTCACTACTGCAGTTTGGAAGCTGGAGATCAGTGGGTGCTTGATTTTTGTCCCGGGTGCCTGTTCTGTCTGGAATCCGGCCCCAGGGGGTATTTGCTGTTGGTGTTTCTAGCTCCAGGCTGAGGCTCCACAGCTTCCATGACAATCTAACAAGGGTCAATACGCTTGCAAGCATCCAGAGCTGAACCAGCCCAGTCCCTCACCCCCCATTTACCCCTTCCTGTCAGCTGGACCCTTTTGCTTTCTTCAGGCTGATATGGGCAGGGGGAGCAACCACGTCCTCTGCTGTCAGCCTAAAGACTTTCTGGGACAGGTAGAAGTACGGCTGGAAGGCATTGCAGGAGATTGTCCAACCGGTGATTGAATCTGCGACCTTAGTGTTATTAGCACTAGGTTTTTATTTGGGGGAAGGGAAGCTAGGACAGGGAGGGGCTGGAGAATGCAGGTACAGGGGGCTGGAGTCATGCTTCTGTTTAGCCTTAAATTTCCTTGGGCTGCATCTCTAGGCTGCGTTCCCATGGTACCATCTCTTGCCCCTGCAGCTTACTTTGGGGTAAGTGCCATGTGTCTGCTATGAGGGGCTCCTGCCACCTACTGCCATAGTGGTGTAATAGCAGCTGCTGTGGATTTGGGGTGGCTGTGGCTTACTATGGAGGGAAATTGGGGTCAACCAGGAGCAGATCAAGGGAGCCAGGTGGAGCCCAGGCCCCAGCAGAGCCAGGCTTGGGGGCACTGGGAGGAGAAAGGTGGAAGAGCTGTGGTTGGGTCAGGATGGGGGGAAGCCTGAGGGCTGGGGGGAGATCTGAGAACAGGCTGCTAATCCCTGAAGCAGAAAGGTGCTTCTTTGTGCCTGCAGAGGCCTGGGCTAGCAGGGCGCACAAGGCTGGAGCTGGGAAGAACATTCCGTCTCTGTGGGGGTTTGGTTGTGATGGGAGCCCAGGGTGAGGAATCGCCACCCCGGATGTCTTCAAGAGCAGGCTGGACAAATGCTTGGCTGGAAGACTTCAGCTGGGGCTGAGCCTGGATGGGATCTCCTAAGGGCCTGGGCAGCCCTGCTGCTCCAGGATTTCAGTCTCAGGGTGGCCTGGGTGCTGGCACTACCATGGCACCAGCAGGATGTGCTCCCACTCAAGCAATGAGATTGGGGTCTCCTGTGGCCTCCTATCCCCTCACCCATCTTTCCCCACGGAAGTTAAGTGTTGGGTATGACAGACCTCACTTCCTTGGCATGGTTTATGTCTGTAGGCAGGGCTGGTCTGCTGGGAAGGCCTCAAGTGGCTCAGACTGCCTGGGCTTGGAAACAGGAGGGTGGAGGAGCAGGAGACTTGGGCACCTTCATCCTCAGCTGCTGGCTCCTAAGTCTCAGAGGATGTGTGAGGGGACCTGCCCATCACAGGGTCCAAGCTCCCCACACCCAGTGGAGATTTTTAAGATGCGGTTAGGCAAATATCTGTTGTGGATGGCTTGGGCATGCTCGATCACACCTCGGGACAGCAGGAGGGACTCGGAAGTCTCTACTTGGCAGAAGCCCCAGGCGTGTTTCAGATCTGCCCTAAGTTGTGTCTCTACCATCCTCAAGACTTTGGTCTCCAGCGTGCCTGAAAGAGGCCTCTGATGACGGTCTTGACCCAGATCACTGGCTTGCCTCTGGGGTGGGAGCATGACATGGCATTGACTTGCCCTGGGTAGCACCTATGTGTCAGAGACTTCCTGTAACAGGAGGGGCAGCCAGCCCTGTGAAGCACCTGCAGCTGTAGGGCTTTCTGTTAATAAAGGTCTGTCCCCTTGGGATCTTAAAACCCAGAGGAGAGCAGCTCGTGGGGACAGAGCCAGCTGCGAGTAAGACGGTTGGATACAGTGAGGGGCCAGGCTGCTGTGCTTGGGGCTGGAGGCAGAGGGGTTCCCTTGCTAGTGTCTGGAGGGGGGCATGAGGGTCTTTTTTGCTCATTTGCCTGTTCATTTGCAGCTCAAAGCCTGCATTGGAGTTGGGAAGAAGTGGGGGCTCTGCAGGACATGCACCTACCTGCTGAAGTGAGCAGGCTAAGCAAGCAGCTGCAATCCCCTCTGCCAGCCTCCCCTCTCCAAGAGCAATAGCTTCCTGGGCTCAGCCAGGTTTAGATCTCAGGTGTGGGCTGGTTGGGAGAAGTTTGGAGCTGTGCTCAGAACTTTGCATTTCTGACTGCCAGGAGCTGCTGCTGCGAGATGGGGCTGAGGTCTTGTGCCTCTGTCACTGTGGTTCCTCCCTGGTCAAGGGCTGCCTTGAGGCCCTGACAGCCTCAGTGCTGCTGGGACGACTAGGTGCTGAGACCCGTCCCTGGCAAACAAGGGCCCTAACCCATTCCACGGCCTCTGTCCCTCCCATCCACCTGTGGGGACTCCTCCCTTGGTCCTGGAACGTCTCTCCCTGATAATGCGTGGGGAGGGAAGAGGCTGCTTTGACTTTGGTACTGAAGAAGGTTTGAAAACCCAGGGCAGGTGGGGAAACTGGGAACTGGGCCTGGAGTCGGTGACACCCCGGAGAGCATCACAGGAAGGCCTCGCTTGATGGGCATCTGAAGGGATGGTGACAATATGCAGCAGTGGTGCTCCAGCGTTTGGCCCTGTGGACCTATGCTCCAGGACTGGGCCCTGGATTAGGGCCCTTTGCAACCTTGGTTGGCTCCTATGTGCCAGGATGAGGCATGGGGGCCCAATCCAGCATACAGGGCCATGCTAGCTGGTGCATGGGGCTCCCAATGCCATCACTTCTCCTCCTCTGTTGAATGTTTGGACCTGTGGGCTGGATGATACAGCTCCAGGGGCTGGGTATACAACCATGTGTCTTGTCTTGATTTGCCACAGGGTGTCACTGATGCTCTGTGGGGCCAGGGCACACCCAGGGCTAGCTAACACCCACAGCAGCGTGAACAGAAAGCTCAGATGAATGAAGTTGTAATGAAAGGACGCTGCAGGAGGGCAGGAGAGCTGTTCAACAGTAGCTGCTAGCGATGCGTTCCCCAAGCGAACGAGCCTTCGTTGGCTGGCAGAGGCCGTGGGAGCAATCGCGCAGCGCTCGCAGGCTGGTCCCGCCAGCGTCACCTCGGGGCTGAAATGCTTTTGACCTTAGGAAACTCCAAATTGGAGGAATTCAGATGCCCTGTGAAGAGCTGTGGCGAATTCCCCCCTTGCGCCAGGGGTCAAACACTTGCGAGGTCCCTTGTGCAACAGCTCTGAGCCAGGACAGATGCTGCAGCAGTGCTTTGAAAAGCTCCTTGTTCCCCAAAATGCTCAAGTCCGTGGCTCCCGGCCACACTCTGGCTGCATCCCTGACTTCATGAGAACCCTTGGACGTCAAAACCTGAAGCAGCCAGCTGAGCAGATAGTCCTGTTCTTTTCCCTCTGATGCTGCTTCATTTGTGGTTGGCACCTACAGCACATGCCCTTCTGATATGCTGCCCCCAGACTGCGGGTGCCCCCTAAAGCTCATGCTCTTCTTGCAACGATCTCCATGTGGCCACTTCGGTTTGCTACATGCTGCTCCACTGAATGAGCCAGTGAAGCAGAAACAAGGGCTCGGCAGGCAGGAGGAGAACATTAGGGAAACAATCACCCGAGAAGACTGTGCAGGGCTGTGGTTAACTGATCGAAACCCCCCCCCCATCCCACATGGCTGCCAGCCTCCATGCCCACCTCGCCACCTTGCAGCCAAAGGGCACGTCCGAGGGCCCTGGCAGGAGGAGCCCTGATAGCAACGAACTGTCCTGGTTCCCTTATCTGCGGGAGTAAAGCCTTCCTCTGCGCTGGCGATTAGGGAGACACTCAACTGTCTCCAACTGTTCTGATCGTGTGATAAAGGCAGAGCCTTGCCCTGCAGGCAGGCTGGGACCCTCCAGAGACACAGGGCTTGATCCTGGGCTGAAGATGCTGACAGATCCAGACTCAAGACCAGGCTCAAAGCTTGGGTAGTGCAGCATTCGTCTCCAGGCTAGCTTAACCCTAGGGTAGGGTTATTCTGTCTATAGCTGACAGGGACGATGGTGGCATGATGCCTTCTGCTTGACCTTGGCAACCTGGAGGATTTGAACTTCCTGAGATCCAGGCTGTCCTTGGTTTTGCCGCTGTGGCGGGGGGACACTTAGGTAGCTCACACATTTCTCTTCCTACTGTGTTCCTCAGGTAGTTTAGCAGCCGACTTTGAGTGCAGGATCCTGTCGTTTGAAGGCAAGCAGCAGCTAGGAGGAGAAACAACTTGACCTAAGACTGGAACCAGGTAGGCAGCCCCCAGCTAGACACAGAAATCATATAGAGAAGTGGGGCCAGGAGGGACCTCCATGTTCAACACC